AGAGCTCAGAAGCTTTATCCAACCAATACCACCCTCCCCAAAACTGAACAAATGTGTCAGATTGATATCGTCGCTTGATCAAATGCTCTCTCTTGGTTAAGAAATGCCAGAACCTCTTAGGATTTGGGATCAGAAGGGGAGTAAATACATTTTAAAACATCCTAATATTAAAAATCGATTTTCTGTTTTTGACCAACACTGTCTGGTTGTTATGAATTCATTCACATAGAATAGACTCTAGACACTGAGTGAGGATTTTAACAGAACCTTGGCATGACAGGGTGGAGACTTATAGGTCTGTAAATACCACAGCCCAACGGGTCTTTGTGTTTTTTGGGATAAAGAGATGGAGGCCTGACAGGCTGAAAGGGGCTGTACTCTGGTTTTAAGGGCTTCATTAAACATTTCAGCCATAGGTCTTGCGAGTACTCTCTCTATGGCTTTAAAGTACTCAACAGAAAGGGCCAGGCACAATACACTGCCTTGCTATCAAAGCCAATAGTCAATACTTCTATGTCACCTAAGAATGAATCAAATGACGATATATCTGCACTTGAGTCAGACTGATAAGGAATATTTTGAATATTTTGAAGCTGAGATCATTCAGTGTCTGCACCAAGATGTTGCAGATCTTCTATAAGTCTGTTGTGGAAAGTGCAATCAGCTTTGCAGCCATCTGCTGGGGCAGTAGCATCAGAACCAGAGACTTAAAGAAACTAAACAAGCTGATCAAGAAAGCTGGTTCTGTGCTGGGATAACTCTTGAACCACTGGAGCTGATTGTTCAAAAAAGAATGCTGCACAAGATGAAGATGATGGAGGATTCTTCCCACCCTCTCCACAACACAGTGAAGAATCAACAGTGTGTGTTCAGTGGGAGGCTGCGTCAGTTTTGCTGTAGAATGGAGAGATACAGAAATTCATTCCTGCCAACAGCCATCACCTTGAAGAACAAGTCTGACTGACTCACTGATTATTATTGTTGTATATATATGTAATATTGATTAAAAAAAAATAAAAAATTAAAAAGTGAGCTTTTTACAATATTGAATTTCCCTTCTGGGATAAATAAAGTATTTTTCATTTCATTTTCATTTCATTTCATTCATTTTCATTTCATTTTATAAGGGGCCTTATAGTAATCTGATGACATGCACAGAGGGAGAGAGAGGCTGCAAACTAGGCAGGATTGGATAGTGTGACATAGAATGCCATTGTCTTGGACAAGGATGGCTCCACCTCTGGTTTTAGTTTGAAATTTAGAGGGAAAGATTAGTGAGATTCCAGTGTTTATTTAGGGGGCAGTGATCAGTTGATTTAAGGTGTGCTTTTTGTATAAATAAAATTTCTGAAATCGACCTAAAGTGTCTGAAGCTAAAGATAGCCTTCAGTCTTGTAGACATTCATTCCTGTCTGCCGCTCTCTCTGCCGACCTATTGTTCATTAATGCTTGTGACTGTTCCCACTATGTCGTTTTGATGTGTTTGTTCAGTATCATTGCTATGTCCAATAATAACTGTTCTTATTGTCATGTCTTTTGTTTACTCACTTCTACGTGGACAACATGAAAAAGTGTGTCTTTGGCAGATTGTGGCCCAGTGTGATCTTGCCAAGTGCATGTTATGAAATATATACAGGTAATAATGTGAGTTTGTTTGTGTCTTGCCAGCTGTGGCCATTTGTATCACCTGCAGTGCCTGCAGCAGAAGAACTGTGGGTGGGGATTGGCCTCAGAGCTCCAGCAGTGGTGGAGGTGCTACAAGTGTTCATCCAGCCACGGAGGGAGGAGCGGAATTTCCACTGAACCAAAGAGAAGTCGCAGCGCATCTCTTGCACAGGTGTGTTTTTACTCTTGTAAAGAAGACACACTTGCAAAGTGTGTTTACTTTTTTTTTTTACATTTGTGCTTAACATTTACTAGACATTTACAATTCCATGAACAGATCCAGAGACAATACTTTCTTACTTCCCTGCGCTGTTTGTAGACCCAAGCTTATTGGGACTACAAGGCATGGTCGTGATTAATCAACCATTCCTGTTAATTGACAGTGACAGTCAGATGAGCTATTGTGGCTTTGCTGTCGTACCCAGTGGAAACACGAGTTGGAATATGCTGCTGTAATATGTTGCAGGTAAACATATACAGGTTACAGAAGTTACAGGCTGGTTACAAGTGTGCCTGCTAACGAGGCCGAGCAAATCGTAAAATGTCTGAAGCTCCCTGGTGTCGAAAGAAGATAAGTCAGTTTGTCTGGGTTCGTTAACTGTAAACTGTAGGCTGTTTTCTAACGAGGCTAATTATGGTGCCCCCTATAATTATTGGGATGAAGACACATTTTCAAGTATTTCACATGTGATTAGAGTGCACGTTTCAGATGTTAAAGGGTATTTGAACATATTTTGGTTTGAAAACAGAAAAATTACAGCACTTTTCATACGTCGTCTCTTCACAGGTTGAGACATTTGGGTTCACATGTGTTTGTGATTACCCAGTTGTAAGATCTAGGCTTCTGTCTAAGATTTTGATTCTCTTTGGAGTCTGTAGTTGCCATTTTTCAAAAGAAGACCAGATTTGTGCTACTGAATGTAAAACCAGCATTAATGAGGGTGAAAAACAAGACAGCAGGAAGAGTTGTTGACCAAACTGTAGTGTTGACAAAATCAAGTGTATAGAACATGATTGAGAAGAGCACACTGATGAGCACAATATTCAAACAGGCACTGGGAGGCCAAGAAAGTCCTCCATTACTGATGACAGAAGAATTCTTACCATAATAAAAACCTTCCCAAAAAACTCTCCAACAGATATCAACCTTAACTTGGACCAACATGAAACTTGAAAAAAACGTTTAACTAATAGCCATCTGCAGCTGTCAGAAAGCAGCAGGACAGATACAGTCGTATGGGGGAAAAAAAAGGTACACTTTGGAATTTTTATTAAATTTTTTCATGTTTGGACAAGCAATTTGTTCCTCAATGATAAAGTGCCTGTATGTACATTTGAACACCACAAGGAAAAATATTTTTCTCAGTTTCAGTATTCAACAAAAAAATACCAACAGATTTAATGTTCTTCAGTGGCAAAACTAAGTACCTCCTTGGCCTCAGAAGCTAGTGTTGGCCCCTTTCACAGAAATAACTTCCTGTAGACATTCTCGGACATCATCTTGCTAAAATTATTGACACCTCCTCAAGCTGGCTATGTCCTGAGGCAGTAAAGCAGAGTAAAAGTAAAACATTTCTACCACTGTGTTTCACAGTTAGTATGAAGTTCCTCTCTTTAAAAAAAGACCTGTTTTTTGTCTTTATGTTCACTGGCAAACTGTAGTGTTGCTCTGTGTCCAATAGCTGGTATGAAGAAGTCCAGGAAGAAAAGAAATTCAAGTTACATGAAGAGCCTGTAAAAAAGAATCACGAAAAGAGAATGATAAAAATGATTTACAATAAGATAACTATTAGAAATTATTCGTTTTTTAAGTTTCTTATTGTCACTGGCTCTGATGCTGCTGCCCCAACACATGGCTTCAAAGAAGAGTCCACTGATAGTCACAGACTGGTTAAAGATCTGCTACATGTTGCTCCACACATTTAAGGACCTAGGCATTCCTCTAGAAGTAGAGTGTGCTCTGTCCCTTCCTGTAGAAGTGTTTTACTTAGAGCCCAATCTGTTGTCAGGGTAAACTGACAGGTATTTGTAGTTCTGCACTACCTTCACCGTTTCTCCGAGGATGGAAAAGATATTGAAATTACCCCTGGTCCTCCTGAAGTCCACAACTACTCTTTTGTATTGGTCACATTTTGGAGATTGTTATTCCCAGGGCCCTCATGTACAAAGACTTGCGTGGATTTCATACTGAAACCTGGCGTACGCTTCAATCCAGAAAACTGCGTACGCACAAAAAAATCCAGATGAACAAAGTGAGTGTATGCCTGAATCCAAGCACATTTCCTTTGTACATCTCACTCAGCGTGGAATTGATGTTGGAGTACCAGACTCCTCCTTCTCTACGCCCCCCAGTTAAATATGCAAATTGGTATAAGTAGGACTGACAGGTGGGATTCCCCTCTCTGCATGATCAGATAATAGTAACAAGGATGAACTCACCCTGTTTGAGCAGAGAGTTGCTGCTATTGTGGGTGACACTGCTCTCACAGGGTGGTGGGAGCAAACATGGGTGACTCGGGTCACCCCCAAGGTAAATATATATTGTGTATTTGTGTAACTCACAAATTTGTTCATTATACAAGTCATACAATAATCTGCTCACAGCCAAACAAGATCATGCATTAATGCGTGATCATGCCAGGATATCAAAGAGGAAATCAAAGACTTTGACTCATGTTTAGTTACTCAATTTATTATTTTCCAACAGACAATGAGGCAGGAGAAGACAGTGAGACACAGTCCCAGTCTCATATCATAGACCCGTGGAATTCCTCCAGCCTCCCTAGCGTCAGCTGATCCTCCGGGGTGCACATGGTTCTACCTGTGCCCATACAGGTGCTGACCACACTGGGCTTCCTAGCCACAGGGTCATTTCAAAGCGAGCTGGCCGACCGATCGGGACTGTGCCAGTCGACACTGAGCTGAGCCATGCCAGCTGTGTGGGATGGAACTTTTCGAATGTTAGCCAGATATATCAAATTCCCATACAGTGCAGTTGAACAGGAGGACATAAAAGTGCAATTTGCAGTGAAAGACGGTTTTCCTAATGGAATTGGAGCTATCGACTGCACACACATTGCTGTAAAGGCACCATCACAAGATGAATTTGTTTATGTAAACAAGAAGCATTTTCATTCAATCAATGGACAGATCATCTGTGAAGCGCAAATGCAGTTAAGTAACATTGTTGCGAGGTAGCCTGATCAACACATGACTCATTCATTCTGACCAACACTATGGTTGGGAACAGGCTACCAGCTGGCACAGTGCGGGATGGGTGGCTTCTTGGTGAGTAAATCATTTAATTGACCTAATATTAATCCCCCTGACACACGTTAAGCATGTGTGCCCCGGACGGGCATCAGCAGCTGGCTGTTGCGGCGGACCGGAGGATCAGCTGACGCAGGGGAGGCTGGAGGAATTCCACGGGTCTATAATATGAGACTGGGACTGTGTCTCACTGTCTTCTCCTGCCTCATTGTTGGAAAATAATAAATTAATTAATTAAACATGAGTCAAAGTCTTTTATTTCCTCTTTGATATCCTGGCATGATCACACATGAACGCATGATCTTGTTTGGCTGTGAGCAGATTATTGTATGACCTGTATAATGAACAAATTTGTGAGTTACACAAATACACAATATATATTTACCTTGGGGGTGATCCGAGTCACCCACGTTTGCTCTCACCACCCCTGTGAGAGCAGTGTCGCCCACAATAGCGGCGACTCTCTGCTCAAATGGGGTGAGTTTATCCATACCTCTCCCCCCGCCTGTTTTGGCCACGCTTTGGCGTTGGACAATAGTCCTCGTCTTGACGTCCACCTTGATGTCCGACCACTTTTTCTTTACCTCTGTAAGTGTGCGCTGCTCCGACCCCACAGCATTCACCGCCTCACACACACTCTCCCACTCACTCCTCTTGCGTTAGCTGTTGATGCCAGAGGACAGCGTGCCAAAAAGAGCATTTTTCCAGGCCTCAACTTCGTTGACGAGTGTCTCCAACTCACATTCTGTGAAGTTCCTCTTCTTACCTTTCTTACTCATGGCTTGTTACTGTTATCTGATCATGCAGAGAGGGGAATCCCACCTGCAGGTTCTGTCTATACTAATTTGCATATTTAAATGAGGGTGTGGAGAGGGAGGAGTCTGGTACTCCAACATTTGCGGTCAGTTCCATGCTGAGTGGGATGTACAAACAAAATGTGCTTGGATTCAGGCGTAAGCTCACTTTCATTCATCTGGATTTTTTTGTGCGTAAGGAGTTTTCTGGATTGAAGCATACACCAGGTTTCAGTATGAAATCCATGCAATTCTTTGCACATGAGGCCCCAGATCATGAAACAACACACTCTGTCACTCCTGAAGCAGATTTTAATTTTATGGATTTGATTTGATAAATGTAAAGGCTTACTCATCTTTTCCTTGTGACTGACCTGTTTTTGTTATTATGTATGAATGTATGTATGTGTGTATGTGTGTGTGTGTGTGTGTGTGTGTGTGTGTGTATTTATTTATCTATTTATTATTGTTGTTGTTATTCAGTAAAAACAAATAATAACAACATTTCCATTTTATTTGTGCGTCACTTTTATTAATATGCACTGTTTCAACTACAATCAAGTGAGTCTGTAATTGTTAAAAAAAAAAAGTAAACAGTTTTCATGTGATATGGTTATTTATTTTATTTATATATTTTTTTACATGATTGTACATTGATAGATCTGCCACCTCAGAGACAAACTTTAATAATTTACTTTTTTTTCCTGAATGTACTAATTGTATCCATCAACACAGTCCAAAACTGTGTATGGAAAATATTGTGTTCTGTAGGATTATTATTACTGAACTGCAAAGTCAAGCCATTGACACTTGCATAATGGCATGATTGCACTCTCAAAGTCTGTGATTCCATGAAGGGATATCAGGTCAGAGTAACTGTAAAAGTGCTGTTGTTACTTGTGTGGCAGAAGCTTACCTTTATGCTAACTGGATCTTGTTACTATCACAATACTACTTTCAATCTAAGCCATAAGAATGTCTTACAGTGCCCAGCAATCCTGACAGAACCCTGCCCTTTTCTCTGTGCCTCAGACTCATGTCACATCAGTGCATCATGACACAGAAGCAGTGGCTCACAGGAAGAAGGTAAGGTTTTATCAGGTCCCTGGAGGCCATCAACAGATAGCTGTTGGCCCCCCATCCTTGACTCTGCAAGAGATTAATATGCTGCAATATAGTTCTTCTCCCCAACATTTGCCCTTTAACATTATTATGATGTTATTATAATTCCAGTTTACCAAAATTTGGGTCAAAGTTCTCAAAAGTAATCATTTTGAAATCAAGAAATAACCTGTATAAATTATTGCCATGTTTTTTTGTTTCTACCAATCAAATGAAAGGTCTGGTATGGTTTCTGTGAAAATAGGACCCATGTTGTCTCATTTGGAAAGATGAAAGTTTGATATGAACATTCTAATCTGTTGTTGTGAGTCCAGCATGAATCTTATTAACCAAATATAAGCATAGTTAAAATGATATTCAGGACGGTGCTGCTTGGTTTCACACTCAAACAGTTGTACTTTTGCACTTTGCAGTGTTACAAGTTACAAGCTTAACATTTATGCCTTAACTACATTGCTTGTGGTTCTTTGTTGTGGCCCAGGTGTTTGTTGAGGCCACGTTGGACCTTCAGCAGGAGCAGTCCTGGGATCAGATACGTTCTTTATACCAAGGACCATCCAGGGTATAAAAAAAATCTATATCTCAGGTTATCACCTAAAAAAGTTTGCTTTTTGAAGTCTATCTCTGTCTTTCACCAGTGAAAAAGTCTGTGACAATATAAACTTGCAAAACAATTTCCATTGTTTTTGACTACTGAGCCACACAAAGTGACCCACGTGTGTGTTTTTGTGGTCTGTAGGCAATTTAGCAAATAGGGGCAGGAACATGGATGCATCAAACACTATACTGTAGCTACAGATACCCTTCCATTTCATTCCAAGTTGCTCACTGGACCATATGCAGAAGAATGTATGCTATTAGACCAGGAAACAGTTTTGTGTTCTCATAGCCTTCATGATGTGCACAAAACTGCCATGGTTTCATTTAAGGCTTCTGCTAAAGAAGCTTGTTTGATTTCCTGTTGAATTTTGAAATTTCATATTCGAAAACATTCATGGAAACAACAAAATCTGAAAAAAGTTCCCCAGTTTAGTAAAAAAATTATTACACAGTCTTATGGTCGTTTTTGAAGTTTTGAAAAAGAGGTAATGTTCATAATGACTGATGGAAACACCTTTTTCAAATATGATTTTGTTGAAATTGTGTTTCTTGGCAATGGTTAAATGAATTGAAAAGTCAATGTGTGTGACCATTTTCATGTCTCTTCCAGCTGTCCATCCTTTCAGAACTCTCCCACTGCCACAGCAATGAGAAGACAGGGTTTCTGATCCCAACCCTACCAGGAGCAGAGAGTTTCCAGCTTAAACTCTCTCCTCCCCCTCTTTTGGAAGAATAGCACCATGATTGGTTGAGGAAAATAATCTATTTCATTTGTCCTGAGGTCCTGAATGATTGCTTAACGACAGAAGATGTTGCTTCTTCGATAACTATTCCTACCCTCCGTAGCTGTTCTACATCAGTGGGAATTGTAGTTGTCCACTGCTTTTTTATTGTGTACAATCTGATGTTGTATTACTTTTTTAAATGTTTATAAAAAAAAAAAAAAACTGTTTAATATAGATAATATCAAGTCTTGATGATGAATTTACTCTGTAATTTTAATTTCATCAGTTGTTCATGTACTACAGCTAACTGACCCATTGTAACAGAACTAAGACTCACCTAACATAACTGCAAAGAATGATGAATCATTTATTTTATAAAGGGATGCGATTCTGATTGTTTGCATACAAGGAGGATCAAGATGTAAGATACGATTACATCTCCTGTTTCCACATATTATATGATATGCTGATCATAACGCTTTGCTATGTATGAAACACACAAGTACGACAACATTGTTGCGCAGCGTGATATTTCGCTTGGACTGTCTCTGGAAAGCATTTCTTGTGGGGTGTTCTCATATGCAGAGAGAAATTTTGTTGGTGACTAAATGTCCCATCATTGTTGCCCAATTACCTGTTTTTTGATGCACAGTCCAAAAGTGAGCTCATTTTAACTAATGGTTGGATTTTGTGCTTTTTAAAGGAGTATGTTTTTTGTTCTTTTTAAAACAAACAAAAACATTGTTGGTGTATGTAGCAGAATTAAAAACCTGTGTTCACATGTCTCAATGAAATTTTAAACTGTGGTTTACTGTTTTCTTTTAGTTTTTATGTCCACAAACCAGTGCTTTTGACTTGTTGAAGACTTCCAGATATTTTCTGAATAGGTTGCTCATCCAGTTACTAATGATTCAGCTGAGAGTTTCATGGTGCATCCAAGAGCATCAGTGGTCTGTGACTTAACAGACAGTTTGGACTATAAGAACATGAATGGTACTGTAGCTTCTAGAAATCTGGACACCTGAAACAAATCCTACGACTGCATAAAACACAGGCAAAGGTTTGTCAAACATTGCACATTGGTAACGTGGCACAGGCACTGCCCACTTTGAAGTCTACATCTGCACTCACACTTCAGCCAGTCTGCTACATGCTCAATAAACCATTTTAATAAGGAACATTCAGCGGAGGCCTGTTTTTTTTTTCAATAGCATGGAGGTATTTACCTTACCAAGGTAGGGAGAAAAGAAGGGGGTGAGAGAAAAAGGAGGAGGAAAAGGAAAAGCATGAGGAGAAGAAAAGGATTGCTGAAGGGTTCTTTCAACTTTTGCTGCCTTTCTCATCCACTTGAATGCAATTTCTTACTTAAATTTCAACATTTTGGTAAAATGTGGAACTTTAGTGGTAGGGGAAGCTCTGGCTACAAAGGTCGGCAATTCGATCCCAGCTGGTAACATATATATTCTAACAGAAATAACTACCTTTGTCACAAAAATATGAGTGGCTGATTGTAAATTTATTGCTGACTGGTCAGACCCACACAAAACCAACTTTTCCTTATGTGTTACTGAGAAAGCTATATCAGCACTTACTATTTTTTAAGCTTGTCTATTTATATTGATATTCTTACAAATAACAAGGCCAATTTGATCAATTATGAAATGTTTTTGAAAACATGTTCATCATATGTAATTTTAGCTTGACTATGCAAAAAAGTCTGTGTCTATTTGACCCTTCTTATACAGATATTTATGTGAAAAACAAATCAAAAGCATTGCCGCAGAAATAAAAGCCAAATTTATTGCAAAATATACACACACAAAAATACATAAGTTAATTATGTACAATGGGGTTAGGGCTACAAGCTATTTTAACACAACCATTTCAACAATATGATATTCTTTTTTTTCCCTTTAAAAGCTGTCTAAAGGCACAAGATCTACAAAGGAATAAAAATAAAACCAACATAGCATTGCAATGCTGAAACAACATTTTGTACAGCCCTGTTTCTAATATGAAGGCAAAACCTGTTTGAAGTCACTTTGTGTGAGGGAATTCACAGGAGACACTGCATTGCAAAAGCGACCTTTTCAGAGCGTGAAACGGTGTTTCAAGGCATAAAAAACAGCAAAGTTGTACTTTTTCCACCTTCATGTTTACAAAAAATATTTCCGCTTCAAAATGTGTTCTACTTTAATAAATATGAAGGCCAAGAATCAGAAAATGTAAATAACTCAATTTTTCCAAAAATGTCAGAACTTTATAATTATAAGGTGACGACTTGAGCCTACGAAGAAATACAAACACAGGCCCGGTCAGCATCACGATGACACACTCACATTTTGTTGTTAAGTATTATTGGTTTCCTGCTAGCACACACATACACACAGCTCGACAACGCAAGATATTGACTGTGTAACGCGGTAACTGATTGAAATAAGTACACTCACAGTACACACATTCATTACCGGCAAACAGCGAAAATAACCGGCAGAAACCGGAACGGCACTGTCAATGTCCCGTGCAAACTTGCATTGT